TTTGGCATCAATGGGGGACTCATGACTGCAGCACAGGACATTACTACCCTCCAACAAACAAACAAACATGGATAATCTCCCTGGGAAAGTATGGTGTGATGGCTGTGGGACTGCCTAAACATCAACCCTGCATCCACTAGCACTGCCAAGGACGGTCATGGACAAGGTCATGCCAGAGCTGAGCAGGAAGCTCTCTGGTAATGTGTCTGTTGTAGATCTGATCTGCCACCTGGAGAAAGCTACCAAGTACAAAGACATGGAGAAAATGGAGAAGAGTCTGGGGAGATGACTCAGTGGTTAAGAACACTTGCTACTCTCACAGAGATCCGGACCTAGGACCCACAAAGGGGCTCACAACCATCTATAACTCCAGTTCCAGGGGGTCTGGCATCCCCTTCTGATCTTACCAGGTATGCACATGGTACACTGGCATACATGCAGGCAAAACATCCATACACAGAAAATAAAATTGTTTTTAAAAGGTAATGAAGTAGGCACCCAAGAGCTGTACAGGCATTTGGGGTATATGAGGAGGAACAGGCTGATCCCTGTGATTTTTAGCAGCAACACCACTCTTTCATCTTTGATGCTGGGGCTGGCATTGCTCTCAAGGACAACTTTGTCAAGTTCATTTCCTGGTTATGACAAAGAATTCAGCTACAACTACAGAGTGGTAGAGCTTATGATCCACATTTTCTCCATGGAATAAGGAGCCCTGGACCACCCAACAGGAAGAAAATGAAAGGAAGAGTGGGGTCCTTGGCTGCTGGGGAGTCCCTCTCCCAACTCAGCCCTCAACATGCTTAGCATCTCCTGTCATAGTTTTCATCCCAGGCCTCCAGAAGAAGGGGGGGGGGGCCAAGAAGCCCTATTCCCTTAAAGTTTACTGCACCAGAAAAAAAGTTTTAGAATTATTTTTTTCTATTTGAAATCTTTCAAATATTCTTCCTCTGTCTTTGTTAACTTTTTTTTTTAATTTCTTACAGGCTTTGTTTATTATTCTACTTTCTGGATAATTTCCTAAATGACTCCTCCAGGAGTTAGCTGTCATCAATAATCTCCACCGATAACTTTGACCTCCAGTAACTGATCATGGGGCTGCTTCATTTCCAAGCTGTGGGTGACTAAGTAGCCATCTGGGAATCAAAGACTCTCCCTCTTACCCTTTCTCAACTCGTGACTCCATCTTATTTTAGTGAATCAGCACTGTCATGGTGAATCCCACTTCAGATGCCAATGTTTTTCCAGAGTCCCTAAGACTACTCTCTTGTTCAATGGTTTATCAGAAGAATTCACCAAAGTGTTTATACTAATGCTTTCAGGCAGAATAAAGCCTACAATAAAAGAACGTACATTGGCAGGATACAGGAAACATTGGGTATGAGCTTCCAATTGTTTATATGAAAATGGAATCAGGTAGACAGGACTTAATCCTTCCAGCAATATTCAAGAAAACATGCACCAAGTACTGTTAGTAATAAAAATTCACTGAAGCTTTGGCGTTCAGAATTTTATTGGAGATCAGTCACACAAGTATAGTTGACTGCCCATGTTGGTGGACATTAGTACAAACCTTCTAGAGGCCAAGGTAATCCTAGTTTCTGGTCTAAGTCCCCAACAAAAATCACATTGTTGGCACAGACTATTTGATATGGCCCAAGACTTCTGTGTAAACAGGGACACTTATATTGAAGAGGATATTCCAAGGACTTAGAGACTAGCTCCTTAGAGAGCCCAGCAAGAGCCAACCAGTTTTGGGTGTATAAGTTGCCAGAAGAGGGTGCTGGATCCCTTGGAATTAGAGTTGCATGAAGTTGTAAGCCACTTGGTATGGGTGCTGGGAACTGAACTCTGGTCCTCTGGAAGAGCAGGGAGGGCTCTTAATCACTAAGAAGCTCTACTCCAGCCCCAAGCCAAATAGTTTTCATGAATAAAACTATACAAATCCAGATATGCTGAATCCTTTATTACAAGATTGACTGCCACATGCTGTTGATTCCCCGATGAGGTCCCCTTTACCAACAGTGCACCCTGTCCTTCTCCTTCCCCATCTCCTAATTATTTTCCTTCTGAGACAACCCCAAGCCCTAGAACATCTGTATGAGAGTCCATGGTCTGCCTTAGGAGTCATAACCTCACAGTATAGATGTGGCACTACAGGGATCAATTTATGAATTATTGTTGAACAAAAAATAAACTGAGAAAACTCCAATAGGACTCCCCTACAAATTATGCAGAGCACCTTGCACACACTAAATCTTAAGGAATATTAGTCACATACCCCATTCCCAACCCCTTGCATTGTGGTGACTTCCTCTCTATAGAACTGTCAGGACGTGACTCTCAATTCCACAGTTCAGCGATGCAATCTTGTGGCTGCACCAGACATGAGCAGATTCATGGAACTGGCAATTTAAAACCTAAATGCTAATTTTCTCATTTACAAAGACAATTGAGACTTAGACAAAAAACAGGATCATCTGCTGTTTCCTGTGTCTCTATAGACAAATCTATATCTAAAACAGTTCCCAGTCAAACAAAAGCCAGTAGAAGGGTAATTGGTGAATGATGCTAAGGACAAATGACACTGGATCTGTGGTTTAAAGTCTATCAGCACCAAACATGCCAAGACCACCAGGCCTGGGTCTTTGGGGACAACTTCCTGGGAGATAGCTGAATGCTGTCTCTTTTTTCTGGGGTTATATTGTCAATGTCTATATGGTCACTGTCTCCCCTGCCCAAACCCTTTCAGTTTTCCTTCAAAATATGAGTAATATTTAAATTTGTAGTCACTTCTACTCATGTTTTATCACCAAACTGTCCATGTACTTAATAGCTCAGCTATCACTGCCACTTCATAGATTCAGTGGGAATATGTTTATTTTCATTGAATAATAGTAACCAGTAATTGTGACCATCCTTTTATTCCATGTTCATTCTTTAATTTCATTCTTATGCTGCAGCCTTAACTTCCTATTTGGAGTTTATGCAAGGCACAGAAGTGCATGCCTGCAATCCTAGCACTCAGGATGAGGAGGCAGAGACTCACCAAGAGTTAGAGAGCTGCCTGTGTTACATGGCAATTTCAAGGCCAGCCTGGAACACATGAACAAACCCTGACTCAGAATAATTTGGGGTCACGATGTTGTAAGCCTCTTAGGTTCATAACCTCTATCTTTTTTTTTTTTTTAAGTTTCTCTGAGCAGCATCTCACTATATAGTCCAGGCTGGCCGCAAACTCTCAATCTTCCTGCCTCAGCCTTCCGAACACTGAAATTAAGGCATTTGCTACCATACCCAGCTCTCTGTCCCATTTCTGAAACCATAACATCTCCCCAAACTGCAGTGCTTCAAACATCCAATGGCACCCTCCTGCTACCCGCAGCCTAGCTTACCTCCTGGAAAAGCCTACTCTGCTCCCCAGAATTGTAAGCCTGACTCCCCCACTGCCCCTCAGGCCTTATCCCACATCCAGGGAAGAGAAATGGATACAGAAAAACTGAATGGCTGAATGACATTCCAGACACCGGGCCTGAGAGCTTTCAGGAGGAGGCAGGAGACCAAATAGCCATGCTATCAGCATGCTTTTCTGACAAGCCAGAAGCCATGGGAAGTCCCCAGGGCAGAGAATTACTTGTCATGGAAATAATTAAGGGTGAGTCTCAGTTCTCAGAAAACACTGATTTGCTAGCTAGGCTCCACCTAGACCACCAGTGCTTATGAGGCAAGACAAACTGTTGTCCTGTCCTTAACTCAAGGTCCTACCCAGCAATAAGTCACAATGCCCCAAGTGTCCACATCCAGAATGGTCGGCCCAAGTGGGAGGAGGTGAGGAGGGTTTGGTGAAGCTAGAGTGGGAGTTGGGGGTAGGGGCACCCACAAAGAGCCCAGTTCCCTATTCTCTGAGCTCACCCTTGAGCATATACCAGGGTCCTCCTCCCTCCTGGTTCTTAATCTCCTAGCACTAGCTCCCCCTAATACCCCCAGCCCTGCTTGCCCATGCCCAAAGCCTTTATAGATCCCATCCTATCCCTCTCAGTAGTCTGGATACTGGAGAGTGGTTGAGTAGGTCAGTGAGCCATGTGTGTCCCCTGGAACTTCAGCCAGGCCCAGCTCCTGGACAGTATCCTAGGGCTGGGAGCACTAGGAGTGACAATTCGAACAGTCTTCTCGACAGCTGGCCTAGCCCTGCTGCTCCTGCTGCTGGTCAGCTTCCTTGCTTTTGACCTCCTCCACGGGTAAGTGGCAGCAGCCCGCCAGGTGGGTGTCACAAGCAGAGTCAAATGAGCAATTGCCTTGAGCTGGCATCTTCTCTCTCCACAGGCCCACAGGTCCTGTCCTGCCACGACACAGACTTCTCCCAGTGGGTCAGAGCCAGGGGGCTGGTGAAGGTCCGGGACAGCAGGCAACTCCCCTCTTCCCGACAGGGATAGTTTCAGGACTACTCAGCCTCCAGGATGCACTGTTCCTACTGTTCCTGGGCCTGGGCTTATTCTTGGGAGGCTCTGGTATACCCTTAGCCCTGCTGGGCCTAGCTTTCTGCCTGCATCCTTGGGCCTGAGGGCCCTCTGAAAACTGAATGCCTTCTAAAAATACACCAGCCATTCTGCTTCCTCAGGTCTCTTCTCTTCCATCCTGAGCTACATGAGGGTAAGGTTGTGGGGTAAGGGTAGAATAGGCCATTGTGTTCAGCTTGAACCTCAGAGGCCTCTAGTTCCATAATATGGGCATTTGAGAACTGGGTCTGAGGCGTAGGGCGGCAAGAGAAGGCAGAGGAAAGGGTGGACACAATAACCAACTCTAGCCCTGCTGTTGGAGGCATCTATTAAGGAGGGACGGGAGTGGGGAAGGCTTCCTACAAATAAGGAGAGTGGTGTCTGCGAGGCTTGCTGAGCTCTCCGGCCAGCCGGCAGAGTCCATAGTGAGTGACTCAAGTTGAGTCTCACACTATGCAGTAATTATTCTCTTGGCTGGGCCCCGCCCCAGGCCAGGTCACAATGGACTCCTCTGAGGATGGTGGGGTGAGTGAGGGTGAGCCTGGGACCCAACTGCCAGGCCAGCCTGGGCACAACAGGAAGCATCATGACTTAGGTGGCTCTGCCCAAAGGTAAGTCTTAGGCCCCAGTTCAAAGCCCAGTCCTGCCCGTGCTGGTCTCCTCCTGACCCCTGCAGCCCCACCTATTCAGAGGTCCTGGGCATCTCCAGGGCTGCTCCTGCAGCTGGCCTGGCCCTGTCCACAGGTGCACCAGCCGTGATGCAGCAGCCACGAGTGGAGACGGATATCATCGGGGCTGGCGAGGGACCCCAGCGGGCAGTACCCTGGTCAGCCTGGGTCACCCGTCAGGACTGGGTGCGCTGGTGGGCATGCCACATGCCCCGGAGCTGGTCCGAGTGGTGGAATACATCAGGCTGGAGGCAACCTCTACAGCGTATGCTATGGGGTCTGGAGGGGACACTCTACCTGCTGCTGGCACTGATGCTATGTCATGCACTCTTCACCACTGGCTCCCACCTGCTGAGTTCTCTGTGGCCTGTGGTGGCTGTGGTGTGGAGCCACCTGCTGCCAGCTATCCTGCTGCTGGTACTCAGTGCCCTGCCTGCTCTGCTCTTCGCTGCCTCCTTCCTGCTGCTCTTCTCCACACTGCTGAGCCTCGTCGGCCTCCTTACCTCCATGACTCACCCAGGCTATGCTCAGGGCTTGGACCAATAGAAGGGCAACCCCATCTTATTGCCTGTGTCTGTTGAGCCCTGGCCTAGGGCCTGAGCCCTGTGGGGAGGCGGGAGTGGCCCTTCAACAGACCTCAGACCCTCAACCACAAGCACAGGTGGAGGCCTGGCTTCTGGGCATCTACTTTAATCCTGTGTTGGTGTCAGGGACAGGACAAATGGTTCAGCCAAGGGCAGGAGCTTAGCCAAACCACTGGGAACACCTGTGCATATGTGGTAGCAACATTTGGTCTCCCAGGCAGTATCCTTTTATCACACCTCCTCTGCCCTCAGAGTTTCCACCTATATACCCTTGGTCTTGTCACTCTGTGTGGACTTGTCATGGATCCTCTGCTTCCAGGAGGAGCACAGACTCTGAGAATGGACCTTACTGAAAGATAGGCAGGGGTGGTCCTGTTCTAAAAACCTGGTGACCTCACCTCAATCGCCTCCCAGAAACGGGATATAGGCCAATCATGGAAGTGAGGTAGGTATGTGTGTGTGTGTGTGTGTGTGTTCACATGATAGAGATTGAATCCAAGGCTTTGTGCATAAGCATACACTCCACCCTGCATATATAGAGAGCCCCCAGATCTGTTAGGAAAGAACAAGTCTCATTTCAGACACCCACACCTTGGCCAATCCATCATTTTTGAATCTCACTGTTAGGTGGGTCCCATTCTTTTCACGGGGCTGTTATGATCCAAAGTCTATCTATTTGAAAAATACTTTGGGCTTTTGTTGTTTTGTTTTTGTTTTCATTTTGAGACAGGGTCTCATGAAGTTCAGGATGACTCTGAACTCGCTATTTAACTGGGGACGACTTTGAACTTCTGATCCTAATGCCTCTACCTCCAGAGTATTGGGATTAAAACTTGTGCCACCATGCCTGGTTTTATGAAAAGTACTTTGTAAGACCAAAAAGCAGTTAAGATGTTTTGACTCCAAGAACATTCTACAAGCTCAAAATGCCTTTCAATCCAGAAGTTAAGATGATGAAGCAAGTTTCTCCAGATTTCCAGAGAAATTCTGTCATAGATAAAATCTCAGCCCTATTAGCTCAGAATAGATGGTGTGGACTAAGTGTATAAGGTTGTGTCATATGACCTCAAACTAGCCAGATATTGAACTGTACTAGTTGTGCAATGCTTGAGTTTGGAGCTTGGTGCCAGGAAATGCTTGCAAAGGCTGTGTGAGTAAGGAAATAATAGCTCAGGGATTTCCAAAATTGATCAAGCAAGTTGCTTACATTCCAGAAAGTTTTGGATCATTCATACTCAGAGTCTGGCCATTTACCTATCTGCTGACCCCTCCAACCAAAATATTGAGTGTCAGTTACCAAATAAAGTGACAGGCATGCCAGGGCCCAGCTAACAGTCTTTATCCACACCTGACCCCTACCCACTCTCTGCTGTTTCCCAACTTCTTATCTGTTTTATATCTGACCTTAAAAATCTTTACTTCAGAAGCTCTGGACCAAAAAAAAAAAAAAAAAAAAAAAAAAAAGTCTTGCCCCTCAAATACTCATGCACCTTAAATCTTGGTTCATTTTGGCCAAAACTTGCCACAGTTTTGAAGCTCTATCTGTTATTGGTTAGACATCTTCAGCTCCAGTACCCAAAACCCCAAAGCAGTCCTTCCTGTTTCTTCCCTCTGCACTGTGGCCATGTGTCAAGGCAAGACACAGATGCTCTAGCTCCATCACATTCTTGTTCCATGGATCAATATCTGTCTCTGTCTGTCTGTCTGTCTGTCTATCTGTCTTTCTCTCTCTCTCTCTCTCTCTCTCTCTCTCTCTCTCTCTCTCTCTCTCTCTCACATACACACACTCACACTGCTTATGCAGCTCAGACTGTCCTTAAACTCACTATGTAGCTGAAGATGTAGGTAGGAATGTGCTACCATACCTGGTTTATTTGATATTGGTGATAAAACTTTAGGGTTCCTGCATCTTAGGCAAGCACTCTATCAACTGAGCTACATTTCCAGCCCTGGTAAGTCTTTCTGAACTTCATTTTCTACATGGGTAAAACAAAGAAAAAGATCCTTGCTTTGGGACATCTGACTTGCAAGGTACAATGCCTGAAGTAGCTGCTAATGCCACAATGTACTTACACACACACACACACACACACACACACACACACATGTACACTGTGACTATTTTGTCAGCATCAGGTAGCTACTCACCAGTGTCAAGGCCTGGCTGTTTGAGTCCAAGGTCACTCTAACAGGCTACTAAGGAGAAATCCACGTTAGATGAAGCCAAGGCCTAGTAATGCCATAAGTCAAATATGTCTAGATGTCTAGAGGGCCGAGACTTCAGAGTTGTCTGTGGTGGGAATGGAGACTAAGATGCCTAGCCTGGATATTTTACTAATTTATCCGTGCCTCGCTGGTCAGGGACATCACTCCAGAGACCTGGGACCTTTCTAATTAAGGGGAGAGGAGGTTTCAACCAAGACCACATGCACAGGGTGGCAGGGGACACAATGCAGGTGAGAACAAGAAAGGCCATTTCCCTGCCCTCACATACAAATCCATCTTCCACCCTCTTGATCTGCTGGTGAGGGGAAGGGTGAGGCAGCAGAACTGGGATGCAGAGCAATCCTTACCAAAGCAGGGGCACTCGTATATCATAACCCAGAAACTCAGATGAATTCTCACAGAGGTCCTCGGGGACCTTACTCTTCCACACATGGTCCCAGGAAGAGCAGTATAGGCATCCATTAGCTCTTTAGGTCTGGAGAGATGGCTCAACAGCTAAGAACACTTGCTGCTCTTGCCAGGATCCTGGTTCATCCATAGAACCCACACATCAGTTCACAACCATCTGTAACTTCAGTTCAGAGATCTGATGCCCACCCCCTCTCCTGAGGGCACCGGGCACTCTTGTGGTGCAGATACTAGCAAGCACCCATTCATCCACATAAAATAAAACTTAAAGTAGACTCTCAGGGGCTAAAGATGTAGCTCATTTGGTAATTTGCCCAGCATTTAGCCTTGACCCCCAGCACCACAAATGCTTGGCTGGTAGTTTTTAACTGTAATCCTATCACTTGGGAGGTGAACTCAAAAGGAACAAAAGTTCAAGGCTATCCTCAGCTACATATCAAGTTTGAGGCCAGACTGGATTACATGAGACCATAGAAAACAAAAACAAAACAAAACAAAACAAAACAAAACAAAAAGCAGATTTTACAGCTCCATCTTGACCTGCTGAGCTAGACCCTTGGTTTTTAAGGCTCTGAAGGGAGAGGTGTTTGAGAGGCATTTCATTGGTAGAGGATTTTACTGCACTATTGATAGGGGCTAAAAGATGGAAAGTGTAAAACATAGAAAGGTAGTTGGAAGGGGCAGAAGCTACTGGATCAGTTGTGAGATCTTAGTATAAAATATAGTTCTTGTTGCACACATTTAAAACATATTGTGACACAACAATATTTCTTTTGGCAAGAAAACAGGGCAAGAAACAGAGTGGCATGCATGACTAGTAACAAGAAACGGTGGCATGGGTGACTAGTGGCAATGGCATGCATTTCTAGCGTCAGGCAAATGGGAGTGGCAAATAGTGTGAGATGACTTGCAGAAAAAAAAAAAGTTTCAACATAATTCCTGAAAGTCCTTTCATGTATACAAAACTGTTCTCTCACAGTTTAAATGATTTTAAAATACAACTTAATGAAATGGAAACGCTGGAGTCAAAGTGTTCTAAGCCTTTCCAGTTTGGCCAAGAGGAAAGAACTGTCCCAACTGACCTGATGTCCTGGACCACTGGTTGGATATTTTTGCTTGGTCTTCCTCACTTCACCCACAGTTTTTCTCTGATGGGGTTGGAATAAGGGGCTGGGATCCACCAATGGTTTTAGCCATAAAAACAAGACAGGCATGGCTTAGCTGATTCACACAAACACGATATCCTGATACTGAATATCACTATCAGTATACAGTATCAGCATCCTGATACTGAGGTGTGTGTGTGTGTGTGTGTGTGTGTGTGTGTGTGTGTGTGTGTGTGTGTCCAATATGACGTTCTCTGCTTCATGGTACAGGAAGAAAAGAACAGCCTGGAGCTAGAAGGATCTCTAAAGATGGTTAAGGGGGAAGACATGTACCTAGGTACTCATTGATGAGTATGCCTGGAAGAGTGGGACGGGCAGGAAAGAGGTCCCTAGAAGCAGGAACACAGGAAGTACCTGGGAAACTTTCCAGACTCTAGAGGGTGTACTCAAAGGTGTGACTGGCCCTTAGCCAAAGTGAGGAGTGAAAAAGTCTTGGCATCCAGGTATAGGAGGCAACCTGACCAATGATGCAAGGAAGCCAGAATCAAGGGCCAGCCACTGATGTGCAATGCTTGGCTGTACTAAATGGCAGAGGCAAGGTGAAATATAGACTAGGGGTGTGTCTCCATTGTTCAGGGACACCTGCTCTGGCTGGTGTTCTCTGGAAATCCTGTCTAAGTGGAGGAGTAGTGATGCCCGCTGATAAGCATTCAGATGGACTGATGTGTAGAAGGGATGGACAAGGGCCTGACACTGATAAGAAAATCCCAAGCCCAGCCTGGGATATGAAGGCCATGAGGATCCACAAGGAGGAGTGATAACTGTCCTGGACCATAGAGAGCACCCAAATCCCAGCATGGGGAATGTGTCGCTCAATGCAGCAAAGCTCGCCCCCTGGTGGGGTATGTGGCTCTGGCCATGAGAGGTCAGCCTTGGTTAGGGTCCCCCAGGGGATCAGGATTCCACAGGCTTGGACACCAGTCTTGGGGTGAGCAGGGCAAAATTTAGGGGCCATGGAGAAACAGCAGATTTACCATCACCAGGGTGACAGCTTTGTTGCCTCCTTACCTACTTTCCTAAATCTTCAACTTGGCTACCCCAGCAAGAAAAAAACAAGGCTTGAAGGGCTCACTGATGACAATCCTGAGAGGGCCAGCTAGCTGCCTTTGGTGAGGATCTGGATAGAATTAACAGAGTAACATTCTTTTGGCTGAGTCAGCATTCACATTCATATT